ATGAACAAAGAACGATTATCAAAAAAAAAAAAAAAAAGAAGCCTTGATAAAAATTTTTTTTCTACAATTATTTATTTAGTTTTTTTTTTTTGCTAAAACACAAGAAGGAATATTATGCTAAAATTGTCAAAAAATAAAAGCAAAAAAAAAAAAACCGAGTAGAAATATTTATTTGTATATTAAATGGTTAACAACTTTAATGATGGGAGCTGTTGTTTATCGTCCGTCGTTCACCCGTTTACCATTCCTCCCGTATCAGATTACAATGCCATTGATACATTCCATCCTCCGTTTGTCCTTCCGTTTTATAGTCTCTTTGATGGCTCTCTTTTTTCGTTCAGTTCAGCTCAGCTCAGCTCAACTCGGCTTATCTGAGCTCAGTTCAGCTGAGACCTTAGTTCAGCTGTATCCGTTCGTTGTTCGTTGATCATTGATACCGAAAACGAGCAAAAAAAAATTAAAAGGAAGAACCACTTGCTGAAGTCAGTAGTAAAAAGAAACAAATGAACACAAAAAATGATACAATTTTTATTACCTATAAAAATCTCGGGTTATTCTTTTTTTTAATTTGCAATAATTTATCATTGACGAATCGAACAAAGATAAAAGCTAAAATGTTTTGAGATTTTAGTTTTTTTTTTTTTATCTGCAGTTAATATCTGATCTTCAAAGAAAAAAAAAAATTTTAGCAGCTAAAGTGACAGTTTGACAAAGCGGAACAACTATAAATAATTGAATTCATTGTTTCCATTATTAGTTTAACAGTTCTGTTGCCGTTTCACTTTTTTTTTTCTTGTTTTGAAAAGGAGGTTTATCTGCAACAGTTTTTTAGGTGCTTTAAATGGTTAAAAATGGGCATCAGATAACTGCAGTTATGTTTCATCGCCTTCTTTTTTTCGTACTCATTTTTTAAACTGCATTCTGTTCAACAGACACTATTTATCATAGAATGTCTTCTTTTTTTTTTTTTTTTTTTAGGTTCGCCAATTGATAGGCTTTGACTAGTCAACTAACCAAAATGATAAATGAAAACTAATTGTAGAAGAATGAGCCAAGACTGGAGAAGGGGGGCATGAAAAAACTCTTGAAAGATGTAGTGGGAAAAAATTTCTTTTTTCTGCAATTACATTACATTTTTCGGTTACATATTTTTTTT